GAAATATGAAACAAATAAAATAAAATACATACAAAGCAGAACACAGCTAAATGTATCAAAAGTATGTCTATGTAATATTAGAATTTCCTGAGACAATGAATTTTGGTTTTTCTTTTTTTTTTTTTACCAGTAAGAGGTTTTTATCTAATAGAATTTTTGGACAAAAAAATCGCAATATATCGCAAAATATCGCCTTGCTTGCAGTATCGCAATATATCAGGATATATCGTATCGTGACCCCTCTGTCATGAAATGTATCGTATCACTAAATTCTTGCCAATACACAACCCTACTGATGAGGGGCTATCCATCAGGCAAAGACCTCCACCCAAACCACTACAATTTTGGGATGCCTCTAGTAGCATGGCATTTATTAGGAATAAAGACTTTTGAGTTCTGGTGCATTTGTGCGTGCGGGGGTCATTATGTTACCGCTATGCGGTATCTAGTTCACATTTCAGGTAGAAAATGTGAGGTTCGGACAGGAACGAAGCCAGGGTGCAGGCAGGCTTTCAAAGTTTAACAAAAAGTTTTAATAAACAACAAAAAGAGAGCTGCTGGCAGCAAACTTACAAAAACTGTAGATCATCAGCACGAGGGGAACAAAGCTCAAGGAATCAGGACCGACACAACACATGAAACAATCAACAATGATCCSACSAAAGACAGAGACAGGACAGGGCTTAAATACACAGAAAACTAATTACTGAAACAGAAAACACCTGAGGAGAAACACGAGGATGACAATCAGACAGACAGGGAGCAGCTGAGCTGTGACACACTGGGGAACACTGAAAACACTAGAAAACTAAGAAAATAAACACAGATCATGACAGAAAATGCTCAGTTGCCACATAATGAAAGTGCTGTTCCTTCTGGTATTTATAATATATTTTTTAACTACCTGTACATTGGTAATTGGTAACTACATATACTGTGTACCCACTTCCAAAGTAAATAAAAAAATCACTACAGATGGATCTACCAGACATAAACATGCTTGAAAGGCCAGCTGACTGCTCAGTGTCTGATACAGCGACATAACAAAGCTGTGAGGCTGTTTTCTTTGTTTTTCTTTTCATATTCATCTGGTGTTTGTTTTGAGAGCTTTGCCTGCTTATTTTTAACAACTCTCTGCTTTCCTTGCAGACAGTTACACACCCGAAATACAGTCATTTCCCATTGGCCACTGAGCAGTTTTAGCGAAGCAGCTGTCTCCTGTTAAACAGCTACATGTCAGGGTTAGTGGTTAAGATGTGGTCGGTTGGTCTGTTTCTCTCTTGTTGTTATTTATTTTTATTTTTCTTGCAGGAGCATGTTCTGGCTGCGTGTGCACAACTTCTGTTGCCCTGTGACTTTAGTTTAGTCAGTGTTTGATCATAACACATGAATTTATCTGAGAAAGGAGGAGGAGGGTGTTCAAGAAGAAAAAGGAAACAAAATGACATTGTCATTTGCATGTAACTGCCACCTACATATGCAAGCCTGGAAAGTATTAAAAATGACAAAACACAGATGACAGTTTGCTGTTTTTTGTAGTTTTTGCACAGATGGTCGTTTCATATATGTCTTTTAGACAATCCATACTTTTAAAGTGGCAGTACAGTTTCATATTATATTGCAACAATAAACTTTAAAAAGAAGAATTTTAAGATGGAAACTGTGTAGGCATCTCATACATAATTTGAGTGATGTTCAGAAATCTTTATTTTCTGTCACAAAATGACTTCTGAGTAGGTGTAAGTGATTCATTAACCGTGTTTTACAAATACATCAGTGTGGAGGAAAACCACCAACAGAGGAAGATGAGAAATAGCTTGTAGCGCACATTCATCGAGTAGGAAGAAACACCAAAGTGCACCTCTTGTCAGCCAATATTAACTGAAAACTGAGCACCTTTTAAACTTGTTTACAACACAGTGAAATGTTTCAGTAGTTGGATTTTGTTGCAGATTTATAAATGTCTGGTCAGTATCAGCCTCATTTTATGATGTGCAACAAGTGGCGAGGGCTGGCAGGCTAGTGCTGAAGAGATTATCAGGCCTATCTATCTCTTCTTCAGGCTGTCATCCAGACACGCCTGAACATCTATAATCTGATGATTTAGTCCTGTTTGTTAACTGCTCTCAATCTCTGCTTGACTCCTTTTTTTTCTCTCCTGCTGTCTTGCAGTTACACCAAGGAAACAATGGGTTCATATATATAGATTTAAATTTATTCCCATGCTCTTGCAAAGTAAAAATAACAAGAGCCGTTGTAGCATGAAAATAGAAATGTTCCCTGTAAGACAATATTCTTGGATTACTGACACTAATTAGTGTTTAAAACTTGCTGATTTAACTTTGAGATATTATTTAAGTTTCATCACACTTAGCGTATTTAAAAAAAATTTTCAGACATGCAAACGACAAAGTACCAGAAACTTAATTTTGGTGACATTATAGAAACACAATGAACTAGGGATGCACCGATATGAAATTACAGCCAATATCGATATCCGATATTATAATTGGTGTTATGGTCGATAACCGATATTTACCGATATTACACAAACACTCGAATTATATTATACATATACACACAAACACACACTTGTATCTTTTTTCGATACCGTAAATAAGCGGCCAGACCTCTGACTTGGCTCTCTACTTCAGTTATTCCTGGCTACGCAGCGTCAGTATCACTATGACGATCAAACGGATACCACTCAACCAACCATTTTGCCTCCCAAAACAGAAACACAAAGCTAAAAAATGGAAAATCAATATCTGACGTTAATATCGGCCCCGTTTAGCATATCGGGCCGATACCAATATTCTAAAAAATGACCAATATCGCCCGATACCGATGTCAGTGCTGATATATCGTGCATCCCTACAATGAGCATTCACAATCAGTTTATTGCCCATACAGCTGAACGCTACGTGAGTTATTTGCACCAAAACCTGTGCAAGGTATATAAAAAGTTATGACTAGAGCGGATGAGCATTGACTATATCACACAGTAGCATGCAAACAGGGAAAAAGCTGTTTCCTTTTTCAGCCAACCTTCTCATTTATGCGTCTCTCCGAGCTGTCAGGGTAGCTGTTGATCAAACAAAATCCAGTCCAGGCAAAATCTGGCAAAATACTACATTCAAATAGTCTGCTTTGCTCGGTCGTGTCAAATTTTATTGACCACCCAGGCGACAGAATGTTAGTGGGAGACTTGCACAAACATTTTCAAACACGCAACAGCACATAAACCCTTTTCAGACACGTACATTTGGGCGCACACATGCTCATGAAAACAGTCATATACCCACGCCCACGGCCTCATTCTGCGACTCTTTAACTCTGCATTTCCTTTGAGCGGAGGGTGGAGAGAGATGGAGGGGCAGACAAGAGAGATGACTGGCTGTGTTGTTTCCCTCTGGTCAGAGGAAAGAGTGACTGCATGAGCGAGGAAAGAGGTGGAGGAGAGGTGGAAAGGTTTTTCATACATTTAACCCTTCCATAAAGCCCACTTACACAACAAGTTTCAGTTGTAGTTTCAGTGTGAGTCTGTTTCCTCTACAGAGCGGCTGTGGTGAGGCTGTGACCTAATCACAACAGCGGGTTAAACAAAAGCTAACAATTCATAGTTAAGAAGACAAAAATACAGCAGCATCCTGTGTTGAAGAATGTTTTTTTTTAATGTTGTAGTTTGTAATATTTCTCTTTGTAATCGCTTGTTTGCTTTGCTTTTTATTTCCTGCACTTTATTTTTGGCTCAAACACTCGACCACATATCAAGATTTATGAGCTCAGAAAGATGATATTGTGATGTGTAAACTTTTAATCTCTGCATGTCGTATTTGAGAGCTGTTTTGGCCATCTGCCTATCTTAACCAGGACAGTTTGGTAGGGGTTTTCCTAGTTGAAGAAAGGTTAAAAATAAATATAAGTGGGGTCGGGCATTGTTTGAGTTTTAACGTTTCTGATTCCGATTCCGATTCTTTTCAGAGGCAGGGTTGAAAAAGTTTACATGTTTTAAATATCCAGAGTTCTTTTTATTCATTTTTTTACTAACTTTAATTACTCACAGGGCTATTACAACTGCTATATAAATATCAAACCTATAAACTTGAATATAAATGTTATGGAAGTACACTATCAAAAAAAGATCTTTATTTAAAGAAAACTCATGAAAATGCATTGCCGCATGTCCAGTTTCTGATGCTGCTGGTACTTAAACATGTTACTGAGCTCATGTAACAGTTTTAAGTTCTAGTATAACTTATTAGCTGCCTCAATATTTAGACATATTTTATTGTTTTACTCAGCTGGAACAGCTACATAGACAGTAGTTCGTCTGTTCTCCACACTCCTTTTAATTGTTCCAGTTAAAGTTTAAATCACACTCCACTAACCCTTTACTCTCTTTATCCATTTATTGCAGGGTTCGCCTTTCCAGAATGGGCCTACAAGCCAGAGTCGAGCCCTGGATCCAGGCAGATCCAGCTTTGGCACTTCATCTTGGAGTTGCTCAGGAAAGAGGAGTATCATGATGTCATTGCGTGGCAAGGGGACTACGGCGAGTTCGTCATCAAGGATCCAGACGAGGTGGCCCGGCTCTGGGGTGCCAGGAAGTGCAAACCGCAGATGAACTATGATAAGCTCAGCAGGGCACTCAGGTGGGCTGACAGATGGCTGAATGTTTTTGCTTTGGTGTTTTTTTTTTTTTTTTTTTCTGTTTATGGGAGTTTACATGCTGCAGGTGATTCTGTGTTGTCTGCTTAAAATAATCCAAGTGTTATTATTTTGTCTACTTCAAATACAATTATAAGATTCTTGCAAAGTTTTAACATGGATCCATAAATGTATATTTAATGTGGTTTTATGTTATCATTCTTTGAGCAGCAGTCATTAGGAGGTGCCTTGGAGGAATAATCAATAGCAACTCATAGCTAAGACAGGATAGCATAAACAGAATATGCTGTTTTGGTATTCACAGGACCATAGTGCAACTAAGAAGCACATGTTGGAGACTTAAGATAAGAAAAAGACAAACATTTTTGACTCATTTACTCAGTGAATAATCTCAGATTCCTTGTCTGTTAGAAGACCAGAGGAACCAGAAATCATGATATTTTTTTATGGGAACATGCTTCCAAACTGTGTCAAAAACCGTGAATAAGGTGTATGATGTCACGARCCACATTCTGATAGCAAAAATACTCTTAATTTAGTACCCTAGTATCAAAGCCTCACCTATATTTGTAATGGGATTCCTTTGCTAATAACACCAAATCTGTKTTCACCAGAGGTAACCTTACTGGTGTGACCAGACCAAGTTTAGCTGCTATTATGCTCCAAGTAGAATTACAACACTAAACTACTTAAACAATTAGACCTTTCTACGTTCTAGTTCCAGTTTTATTCACTAACACCTAAACTCTGTCAAGTCCATTAGCAAATAAGTGGCATGGTTTGGTAATAAGCTAAATATACATTGTCATTTTAAGAGGTTATTTCAGCAATATATAATGCTTTATGTTAGCGTACTTTCGGATCTGTTTAGTTTTCATAATTTACCATATTATGAAAATCAAATGGAGTAACAAAGATTAACCCAATAAATCTAACCAGATAGATACTAATTTAAGCCACTAAGCAAGTGCTTGTTTTTGTGTTTCTTTTTACAACTTGCTAAAATATTTTAACTCTCAGTCGTTTTGTACCTGTGTGGTTCTGCCTGTCAGAGATTGTCAGATTTRAATATTTACAGATCACATAGCCCGGGGAAATGTTCCTTTCTTGAGCTTAGTTGTAAGCACCACGTTTCATTCACCCCTTTTTTTTTGTTTCCCATTTGTGCTTCGATAAAGAAATCCTAGATTAGGTTAAGTCCCTTTTAAAGAAAGAAGAGAAATACCTTGGACTGCTTAATTTAGCCCATGTACACTCGGTGAGATTAAGATAACGTCTGTTCCAGAAGGAATCCCATGAGGACAGTGTGCATTAAAAAGGGCTGCTTCTGTTTACCCATATGTAACAGTTTAATTTGGATTTATTTCCAAAAGGAGCATGTATAGGACGTTTGTGGTCAGGTTCTGTTATAGCATGTTCATCCTTTGGAGCTGTGGCAGATTTGGAGCTTAGGCTTCAGTAAGTGTTTATATATAGTGTGTCTTAGTGACCTGATGGGACTGTCTTCAGAGGCTGATTACCAGCAAGTTTTCTGTGCAGATCTTTGACTTCTTTTCTTGTGTCCTCATTCGCCCTCTTAGAGACGGATTGCSTCTGTCAGCATCTATATATGACAATCAGCATGTATGTTGTCACCTGATTTGACACCTATTGCACATATGCTCGTATGGCACTCGTCAATTTTAATGTGGCAAAAGTAGCACTAAAGATGGGCGAAGCTACAAAAGAGGCACAGAGTCACACATGTGCGTGCTAACTGTCCCCACATGTAGCAAACTGTTGGAGAGCAGGCCTCCCCGTGCCCCTCATATGGAGAAAACCTGGAGTCTGCTAATAATGGAGACCACAGTCAGCATGTGGCAGCTGGCCTACACACATGTACTTGAAAAGGCGTGCTTGTTTTGAAGTGTTCCTTTTTATCTCTTAGCCTTTATAATTATTATTTTTTTGCCCCGGTGTTCTTATTCTTTCCTGTCTGCCATACACGTGGTGGAAAATCCCTTAATCAGGGCTGCTGTATTGTGTGTGGACATGTGGACGTGTGCATTGTGTGCCGGACGCAGCCTCGGCCCATGCGTCATCCCATCCTCCCGCTCCCACGGCCGCTGTGAAATTCCCACTCCTGTTGAGAGGATTATGCTCACGCTGTGCGAGTGTGTGCACTTGTGGAAGAGTTGAATGTAGAAAATACTTTCTCTCTTTTTTCTAAAATTGTTTATTTATGAATTACAGTAGTTTCAAATACAGTCATGTTGCATCAGGCTCTGTTGCACAAAATATTTCTAACTCTCCTTTTTGTCCATTTGGATAAAAGTCGCTGCCCAGCTCTGTCCCATATTTCTGGTCCAAGTAAAGAAAGATGGGGTGGACATGATCTTTAACGCTCAGCTTTGGCTTCGTTACTGGCTAATTCAAAGAAATTATGAATAAAAGGCACAACTTCTTGTTTTACTACTGATTCCTTGCACAGCTGCCTCGCTCTCATGAAACAGAATTTCACTGATGAGCTAAAGGAGGGTGTGGAGGGAAACGAAATGGAGCCTGTTACCAATCATGCACTGCAGAGTGCCGGCCTAATGAGTGTAATCACGCTAAGAGGTCCCAGCTCCCTGAGACCTCCAGACCTCCATGTCCGCCAGTCGTCAGCCAGTGCCGGCTGCAACTTGGTAGTCAGAGGTCAGGGTGACTGCCACGCACAGCTGGCAAAGATTAACAACACGGCAATACCCTCATTCGCGTACACAAATGCTCCATTGTACGGGCCGTTGCCTGAGCAGGCTTGCTTACACGTTTGCTTCTTCTTAATTGTAATGGGCCACMGTGGCTGTAAAACACCATCACTGATGCATAAACAAAGAAAAAAAGTGTTTGGCTATGTGAAAGTTGTTGTATATTAGTACCTTTTATGAATAAAGGTTGAGTATGAGGGTGTAAGACCACTTTTTTTTTCTAAACCGCTGCTACATGTGTGTTACTCGCCTCGCTGGCTGCAGCTGGACATCTCTGTTGTGTGGAAACACCCAGAGCTAGAAAGAACGAGCATCCAGAGACAGCATCACTGCATGACTTAGTGTTTTCTGTCTGTGCATTGTGTTTCCATTGTCACTATCTTCAGCATGTATGTGTTCAGCTTACACGAGTGCTGTGTGTATCTCTTTGTTCCTGGGTAAATGTGGCCTCTGTTTTCTATGACAGCAAAAYGTGTCGCACACACACTCACACGCAGAACTCCCAACAGCTTCACAAATCACACTCCTAATCTATACCCCCTTGTTCACACTAACACATTTCATTTCCTTTTTGAATCAGTAAACACTTTTCAAATGTGTCTTTTTTTTTTTTTCATTTTTCATACAACGGCCTTTGACGTGTGCGACTTGTACACACCTGAGTGTGAGTGGCTGGTGTGTGTGCGCCTATGTGTGGAGGTAGATCTGGCAGGTGTGTGTGCGTGTAACAGCCGATGCTGACGAAAGAGGCAGAAAATAAACATGGGACGCATGGGGAGTATTGTAATCCCAACTTCCTGTCACAGTCAGCCCCTATTTACAGCTCAACAATGGGCAAGGCACAGCCTGTCCACGCACACGCAAGCAGGCTGGCACAATTCATTTATACTGCAGACTTTTGTGTGTTTGTGTGTGCGGAGTGATACGGGAAAAGACTAGGGAGCGTTTAAAAAAAATACTCCATCAAATTAAAGGATGTTTAAACAGTTGATCACAGAGGGCAAGTGTTTTATCTTTAAGTAAACCTCTTTTTTTTCCGGCAGAACTGAATGTGCAAACACATTTTTGGTGTGCATCATCTCTCATCTTTACTTCTCGTGCCAGTCGTCAAACCTCGGTGTTTGATCGGCACTGATGTACTTGTTTTCATGCTTCCTGTTTTGAACCTTTCAGAGTCCAGTCCTGGTGCTGGAGGGGCCACTCTCCTGCATGTTTAACTTGTTGCCCACACCTGACTCATGTTCTGTAGAAGCCTGGTAATCACCCATKTATTCAAGTCAGGTGTGTTGGAGTAGAAAAACTTCTAAAACATGCAGGRTGATTGCCCTCGAGGACACCTTTGTTTTAGAGTATTAATTCTGTAACCATTGTGGGGTTGTACTTATAGAGTTATTTTGAGAGATATACCAGTTTTACCTAAATTCAGTTTAGCAAGGCAAACAAAAAAATATAGTACATGTTGCGAACCACAGGTGAACCTAACWGCATAACTGGAAACCTAAAATGATTACTTGGTATTTTTGTCACGGTGGATCTATTTTCAGCTGTTTTGGAGATCTGAGMCAGTTATCTAATCTGATTCAACTTCCAGACAGTTGTGCAGCGAGGTTAAAGATATAAAATGCAGTAATGTTTTAATCTTATAGAGTATTTACAGATCCAAAACACATTTCAAAGTAAACCTACAGCTTCTGGCAYTCAATGTTTTTGTGTGTGATTAATGAGCTGTTTAAAGTGTCTGTGGTTTCTCATTGTAATTTAGCTCCGGCGCTCTGCCGCACATCTTTCTGCTTTGATCTTAACGTTCTGAACTGTGGCCCATCTGTGTTAATTGCAGACCTAATCCCTGGCCTAGAATCACTCACAGTAACAAGTGAGTTGATAAAAAGCTCCCCTCTTTGTCTTTATGACAGCTTTGTTTGAACTCGTACTTGCACTGGTTGTTCTGTCTACGGTTTCAGTTAGCAGGGAGTGAAGAACAAAAAAAAAAGAAAAGAGAAAGCTGCAGAAGTGTGAGGTCACACACGAATTTATCTGAGGAGGTGGTACAGGATATGGAAGAGGTGTGTGTGTTTGTGTGTGGTATGCAAGGCAAGTGTGGTGGGCAGCTAAAGACAGGCACTCAAAGAATCTCTTTCTTCTCTTTTGAAGTGAGTTCAAATGCTCTTCAAAGACTGTCTGCCCGTATGACGGTGCAGGAAGGGAGGAGCGACGGGGCTCAGTCACCATGTGCTCTAAACGTAGATTGTTTTCTGTTTCCAACAATGAATTTCACTCACATGTGCGTTGTGGCTGGGGGTCTCACCACAGATTCCCAAAAAAAATCCATCTAATTTTGTTTTAAAAGATAAAAAAATAATTAGATTTCTAATTTGATTTTGTTTCTGAATATATACAGATTTTGTTTTTGATTTTACTTTTTGTGCTTCTGCACAATTTCTTTCATTACAGCAAATGTTCCTCACTTATTTCCAGCCTAATTTGGTGATCAGTTATGGAAATGCCTCTGTTAGAGAGCTGGGAATATCTCGACACAACTTATTTGCATATGATCTTAGCTCAAACTTTTGCTTTGCCTCTTTCCAAGGCTTGATTTCCTCCCTGTCGATTCATCTTTACAGCTATTAGTCGCTGTTTGTTTTCAGAAGAGGAGAGAATAATTTTACATTTCCACTTTCTTGTTCTCCCTCTGACTGTTTATATCTGGGGATTATTTTATCGACTTTATGTCCGTCTTGGGATGAAATTATTCAACGTGTACTCATCAATGTTCAAATAAAAACAAACTACTTGTAACTGTTGGCAACTAAAGACATCTCTGCTAAATTTGCTCATTTTTTACATATGATGTGATAGGCTATAATGCATATTCAGCTATTTTTTATCATAGATGAAATTTATGTGCAAAAGTATTTAATCAAAACCATCAAAAATTTGTGGAATTTAACAGCTATTGTGGATTTAATGTATTTTTTGACCAAAGGAAAACAATTTTTACTCAACTTGATGCTATATTAGTAACCTGAAAAAAATCCAATACTTTTAAATTTCAATTGTTTGCTTTGGGCTGCCTGATTATTCCCAAAGTGACCATCAGTTATTCATATTGGTATTTGAGATTTGAATTGTTTTTATGATGATTCATTGATTTTTAGTGAAAGTGAAATGTTTCATTACACCGCCTTTTCAACACTGAACTACTTTCACATCGTTGTTGTGCTAAATTCATATTAATTAGGGCTGCAAAATGTTTAGCAAACTTGCAGTATCAGTCATTTTCACACCTCAGGTTAATTTAGAATTACCAGTTATCCTGCATGTTTCAGACTGTGGGAGGGAACCGGAGTATCTGGTGGAAATCCACTGATGTGTGGGGAAAAAACACAAAACTCCCCTCACGTAGGCTGCCACCAAAAAGGTAGCTAGGTTTCCTCTGACTGGTCAAATTACCTGTGAACATGTGAACTCCTTGAACTTAAAGATATAACAACTTAACATTTATTTATTGCCACATTCTGCTTAGTGAACTTTGTTTACTTCCTTTACAATTATATTGAACACGTGTGGACTTTAGCACAGCTTGTTCACTTTCCTGTCATCTGATTTGATCACACTCCTGTTGTGGTTTTTATCTCTGCTTTGCTTCCTTCCTCACCCTTCTCCTGTCACTCCCTGCTCCCCCCCTCCTTCGCGACCCTTGTGAATGTCTCCCCTAGAGCAGAAATTACATGCTGCTTTGTGCTTGGCGTAAACAATGTTTTCAACAGTGCAGGCCTGTCCTGTCTCTCGCTCGCTCTCTCCCCCCTGCTCTGCCCCCCCCCCCCCCTTGCTTCAAGGGGATAAGTGGAGAGAGTCGGGATGAAGAAGAGGGAGGATGGTTGACGAGAGAAAGTGGGAGAAACGGGAGGGGATAAATGTAGGAGTAGGGGGACACGTGAAAAAGAGCAACGGCCTGTTCCCAGCGTAAAACACGTTTTAAAAAAATCTGTGTAATAAGCATAATAAGAGGGGGTTAAGGGCGACACCTCCCCGGCAACTAAAACAGACGCACACACACTCTGCCGTCTTGATAAATACCATTCAGTGTAATGATAGCCTGTGGGCTTTGATTAACTTAACAATACCTGCATACCTTGAAGAACTGCTTATCTTTATCAACTATTGCTTAACTTGGGCCAACAAACAAATGATGGGAAATCAAAGCAGTGAGGGATGCAGGGATAAGGCGGGGGAAACAGGTTGGTTGTATTTTGCATAATCAGAGGTTGGCACATGAGCTCACTCCGCCCCTGATGACCAAACATGATTTTGTTTCTGTCCTGCTCTTCATCTCATCTTCTCTTCACTCGGCGTCCCTCGGTGTGTGGCGGTTGGTAGCCAGGGATCTAAAGCTTACATAAAGTGGGTGTGGATCTGGATAAGAAAGGAGAGAGATGTTACATAAAAAGCTGTAGCTGGACAAAGGTTAATAAAAAATGAAGCCTTGTGCTGTGGGGAAGAACCATGGGTGAGAGAAGGTTTGGGGGGATAGCAAGAGAGGGAGAATGGTCATTACATAAACAGATAAAGATGTGCTGAATTATTGGTGGCTTTGCTTTGCTGTTACATAAAAAGATGTTTCTGTGTCATAAAATGAAAGACAGAATGTTCTGTTGAGCGTGTGACACCAGCCTGTCATCATCTGATCTTAAAGGGATAGTTAAGCTCTTTCGAAATGGGGTTTTATGGAAAAGTTATGAACCGTTACTGTGTCCAGTAATTCAGCAAACTTCCTCAACTTAAGAAAATTGCTTAATTTCCATCAGATTGGCCCTTCAAATGGCTTTGTGTTGCCATCAGTTTCACATCACATGTAGGCTTGTGCTAGCCTGGTAAAAACCAGACCCTTGTCCTTTACTTTGCTTCGTACAAGGGTCTGGACTCTCAGCTATTGAGAAGCAATTTTTGCAGGAGGCGTGGCCTCTGCTGAAGTTTAAAACGATTGGATCGGTTGGCCGCGACGTATGTCGCTGTGAAAGAGGCTAAGCTAAGAAGCTAACCAGAAATTGCGTGCGGTGCGCTGTAAACAGCCCTACTGAGAGGAGAGAAGTACCGAGCTGAATGAGACGGCCGTAAATGAGAGCTGCTGCTTTGTCAGACAAATTTATTTTAATTGGAAGTCTTATCAACACAGACTGGCTTCATTCACTTCCTCCACTGCCGTTGCTAAACTGCAAGCAGACACTGCCCAGAAAATCAACGTCGTTCAAAACTCCGCCTTCTGTTTGGCCCAAGTCAATGTTCTGTTCTCTGATTGGCCCGGATGAAAATTCTCCCGAAGAAATCCTTGTCTATGGGAGAAATCCCAGACGGAGCAAAGAAGGGAAAGCTGCGTAGGAAGGCAAGGGCCAGGCTAGGCTTGGGCCGTATTAAAATATAGTGATGGTATTTAAAAATTATGACGGTAATGGAGTGCGCCAACCTTTCACAAGGCTCCATTACGTTACTGACTTGTGTTCTGACCACCTCGGCCCATAAGATAAACACTCACAAGCAGCTGTTTTTCCTTTAATTATTAATTACTCAACACGCCACAGGCACCCCTCCCACCCCATTAATACTGTATACCGCAGTATTTCCTTAAAATTATACCATGGTATGAAAATGATCAATATTACCCAACCCTACTGTTATGATTATAACATTTCTGATGTTGGTGTGAAGCTTTATAGAATAATATTTGCATAAACTGCCAGGATTTTGTTTATTTATTTATTTATTTATTTTATTTTTTAGATTTTATTTTTTTAGAGTGGAAATCCAGTTTGAAATGGCCCCACTTGGACTAACCRTCAACTCAAATTTAAACTCTTTTCCTCCAAACTGAGGAAGTTCAAAGCGCTGTCTGAAACAGGTAGGACATTGTTAGAACATAAGATAACATAACATAAAAAATATGAACATAATTGTTCGTAAACTTTTCACACAACCTCACACCAAATGATCTGAACTATCTAATGGAAAGACAGTTTCTGCTTCTTTTAAACAGATGTCACCTGTTCACCATCCAGATGCTCTCGCTGCCCTGCGTCCCAACAATCCTAAAATAGCCCAACCTTTGGCCGCAGCAGTAACACTGCTCACACTGGCCTCTGATCTTTTTAATTATTTGCTGAGCCTGACACACAGCATCCCTGTGCTGCTGCACAGCTCCGTCCATCCTCCCGATTCTCATCTGCCTGTTTTCTCTCATCTACCCCCCCCCCCCCCCCACCACCTTTCAGGGTCTGCTTTGTGCAAACGTCATACAACACTCTCTAATATCTGTCGTGCTGGTGGTGAGGGGTGTATGAAAGACTTATTAAAGTGTGTCCACACACATCTGTCACAGTCTGCATGATGCAGATAAAAATGATGATTTAACATGAGGCCCACGTTTTAAATGAACTGCTGTGATGTACACGCACGCCACACACACACAAAAAAAACACTGTGGCAGATGTCAGTAACACCACTCCATTTCTCTGTGAATTATTTTCATATATGTCTTTTTTTGTACTGTTTTCTAGATATTACTATAACAAGAGGATCCTTCATAAGACCAAGGGCAAGAGGTTCACCTATAAGTTCAACTTCAACAAACTGGTTTTGGTCAACTACCCCTTCATCGACATGGGCTCTAGTGGTAAGCCTAGACAGACTTGCACTGTTTGCTCGCCTCTGCACGCTTAAATATCCCATAATCCCTCAAAATGACGGCATGATTATGCTGGATTACACAAGAGAATGTTGGGTGTTATTTCCTAAACTCCCTTCTTGTTTGTTTCTCCATTTTCCGTGACGTCTCCAGGAAGCAGCGTTCCTCAGAGCGCCCCTCCCGTCMCGACTGGAGCGGGGACTCATTTCCGCTTTCCTCCTTCCACCCCCTCCGAGGTTCTCTCCCCCAACGAGGACCTGCGCAGTCCAGGAGGCATGTTCAGCTCGGTGGCTCGACGCATGGCCCGCGGCTCGGTTAGTGACTGCAGCGATGGAACCTCAGTCAATTCAGAAATCGAGGAGGGTAACCTAGGAGCAGCAGAGGAGAGGGGGGTGAGTGGSGGGGGGGGCGGGGGGCCTGGTGGTGGAGGAGGCTACAGGAGCATCATCCATCCTCGTCTTTCCCATGAAGCGCTTTTCCGCATGTACGGCGCACCGGGCAACCCTGCTGGCCACCCAGGCTCCCGTGGTGCCCCGGGTCATCGTATGCCCCAAGAACCCCTGTCCCCCTTCCCCGTGTCTCCTCTGCCAGGACCCCCAGGAGCCAGCCTCTTAGCCCCTCCACTGTCTCCAGCGCTCTCCATGACTCCAACCTCCCACCTTCCCTATACTCCCTCACCCACGCTGTCTCCCATGTTGGGCTCCCACTTCTCCTTCAACCCAGAGGACATGAAGCGCTACCTGCAGGCCCACACCCAGTCCGTGTACAACTACGGCCTGAGCCCCAGAGCCTTCCTCCAGTACCCCAACATCGTCATCCCCCAGCCCCACCGGCCCGCCACGGACAAGTCCGGCCTGACCGCAGAGAGAGGCGCCACCGAGAGAGCAGAGAGAGCCGCCACGGCCGCAGGTGGGGAGAGGGGAGGGGACCGACGCCACCACCCTCCTCTGGCTCACTCTGCCCACCACCACCACCCGCAGCCTCCCCACTCCACCCACCCTCACCCCCACTCCCACCCCATGTATCACCCACTCCACCTGGGTGAGGAGCCCCCGCACGTGTCGCCTTTCAAGTTCAAGCTGCAGCCGCCTCCGCTGGGAAGGAAGCAGCGAGAAGGACAGAGCCAGAGTAAACCCAGGCAGGGCTCACTGTCCTCAGGCTCGGGGTCCATGTCCTCCACCTCCGGTCTGGGCTCTTCCATGTCGTTCGGCAGTGACCTGAGCTCAGCCAGCGGCTCGGGCGTCATCTCTGCTTCGTCCTCGACGCAGTCCCTCAACAGTGCAGGACTTCCAAAGATAAAGGTATGGAAGTGTTTCTTGTGACATGAAGCCAAACATTTGCACTTTTTACTGTGATTTATTAAAACAACTTAAATTGCATGATTGAAAAAATTGTCTTTGTAGGTGGAGCCTATCTCTGATATCGAGTCAGAAGAAGAAGTGGAAGTGACGGACATCAGCGATGAAGACCCAGACGAAAGAGATCGTGAGTTTGAGCTCTTCTCCCTGCGCCGCTCCAGAATTCCTAACCACCACTTATCTAACGGCACAGCCGCCTCCCACCATCCGCCCCACGACGAGGATCTGGACGAGGACGTCTTCAAAGCTCCGGCACCGCCTCCTCCCGGTCTGATGCCCTTTTTCGCCACGCACCACATACACTCCAACGCACATTGCGGCCCGCCCGTCCTAAAGAGTGAACCTGTGGAGCCGGTGGAGAGCAGCACCCCACCCTCTCTCACAGCGTCCTCAGAATCGACGCAGACCAAGTGCATCCCGCTCAAGTTGCGCTTCAAGAGGCGCTGGAGCGAAGACCAGCGCATGGAAGCCTCGCAGGAGGAGTCTGATGACAAAAAAGTCCGACCAGAGGAGGAGAGGGGTAGAGAGAGGCAAAGTAATGGATGCGTGGAGATGGAGGAGGACGGGGCAGGCAGCGGAGAGGGGGACAGTCCTCCCCCACTGGCCTATGAGGGCTCGTTAACGACACCTCAGGCGTCTCACCGGAGGGCGAGCGCCGAGCTGCACCGTGCCGCAGCGCAGCTGTCTCTAGAAAATAAAGACTGCTGATGAAGACCTCGGCTCAGACACTGCTGCAGCAGGACAGGAGGTGGGACAGGAGTATGTAAATGGTTCCTCTGTAATCCCACTCCCACACTGACAAACTAGATTCCTGAAATCTCCAGTGGCCCAAAAGCAGAGTCCAACATACACACTCATAAAACTGACAGAAGACAGCCAGATTCTTGTTGTCAGACCCACCATTAATCCTGGATCAGGGCTYCTCTGGATCACATCCTTGGGGAAGAGAGACTCGCTCAGACTCAGTCGCACTGTCAGAAAAATCAGCTCCCACCTGGACAGTGAAGCTCCAGATGCCCTGCTCCAGTAGCATAGCTCCTACCTTCAGACCCCCTTTAAAGGGGAGCGAGATCAGCAGCCAGACAGACGAGTCTTTCCTCAGGAGAAACACTCCCTCACAGCCCTACAACTCATCCAGCACCATCACATACAAATCCATGCAACTTTTCCTACAGGACGACGGGAATTTAAGGGCCTGCATCTGACCCCAAGAGGCCTGGAGTGACATGGAGGAGTGATGAAGGACGACTCAAGTGAAAAGAAATCAGTGGGATRAAAAGAAGCCTGTCTGTAAGACGGATGAGTGGGACTGTTGGGTGTTGTCAGACTCTTGAACCTGGCCCACTCCACTCAGGGAAACCTATCGCTGTACTTTTATTGGACCCATGCACAGAGGCAACACAAGCCCATAGAAACCAACAAACTACACAAACACAGAGACTTGGACTCTGGGTTACTGTTGTCTCGGCGCGTGGGACTTTTTATGTAACCCCTCTTCTGTCTTTCTCCTGTTCTGCCCCTCCTTTCTCTCGCGGACCACCTGTGGAACGATCATGACTCTGCTCACAGAAATAAAATGAACCCTACGGAGAGGAAAAGAGAAGGATAAAGAAGATTTGCTGTTGGGAATCATGAGGAGATTTGTGGGGAGGGTGGGGGGACAGGTGTGCTGCCCTTCTTACCTCCCCCTGACATGGCTTGTACATTTTAAAATCGATTCCCTCGAGTCTCCGCAGCACAGAATCCCAAATCACCAGCTCAAGCTCGCCTAACAATCGTAGATAGTGTTAAACTAAACCAGCAAGCACGCACGCACACACACACACACACACACACACGCACAACACTGCCATCACAGCTCCTGTTCACGCTGACTGGACCTCCAGTTCTCTTGTAGAAACCATCAGGAGTCTCAAACCTCTAAAACACACACATATGCAGAAACACACACTGTTGTTGTACGACTTGTAAAATAATGCAAACTGAGCTCTAATAACACACACACACACACATGCACACAGGAAGAATATATCTTTATAAAATCTAAATAAAATGATTTAAGAAGACTTACAAACAGCATTTTAATGATGTGACTGATTCAGGGTTTTTTTCTAAGTGGAATGTTTTTGAGTGGACGAGACGTGTTACTGCAGTTTACAGTCGTGTGGGAGGACAGAAAAACATGGGGGGGTGTTCTTGTATATTTGTTTCATAGATAGGCAAACAGCTCAGGCCAGTCCACCAGAACAGGACCAGCAGGACAGAATCTCCTGTCTCAGACTGCTAATGATTCAGACGGCGCGCCTCGCTCTGCTGCTGTTCACTTCAGGTTTTTCTTTCGCAGTAACTTGCCCTTTCAGCTCTGTGTGTTTTTTTTCCTTCCTGTCTGCAGTCTTGCTCTGCTCAGCGGGGTTTGAGCTGTCCTGGCTGCAGGCCGCCTCTCCGGGCTGTGTGTGTGTGTGTGTGTGTGTGTGTGTGTGTGTGTGTGTGTGTGTGTGTGTGTGTGTGTGTGTGTGTGTGT